TTGCTGTTGAATTTGGTATGGCGGATTTGACTCGGGCCATGACTCCTAAGACGGTACGACAATGGAAGGTCACCTTTATGTGGGTATTGCTTGCAAAGAGGTTTCCCTTAACGTCGCCAGATCCTTACCTTATTTCGTTTTAGGACTCCAGAGCCGCGACAAAGCGAACCACATACTGTTGAACAGCGTACCCTCCTGCGTTCTTGTGGTGGAAGCTTCATGAAGAGGTATCGGCCGCACCCTCCATAGGCCCCTTGCAAAAAGCCATTAGCCAGTAGCAAATTAAGGCTGGGCTATAGCCCCTACACCCTAAACCCTATGTGTGAAATAAGGGATAGGGCTTAGAGCACAGAGGATAGATTTTGTAAGGGCAATTGTCAAGATAGCTGACCTTTCTGCCTCATGATTGCTCAGCAGCCCTAGACACGCCAAATCGCTGAAGCGGTCGTCAATTTGACAGTTGCCCACCCGACTCCGCCAAAGTTACAGGAGCAGGTCGTAGAACTCAAGCAACCCTTACCTGTACCCCAAGAACCTGTTGGTCCTACAGCTTAGCAAAAGAGAATGCAGGCCCTTGAGGCCACAGGTTCCTTCATTCCCTACCAACCACTTGTACTCCTTAAAGGGGGTTATGTAAGGGATTACTATAGAGGTTTGAAGGCAGATGGTAGGAGTTTTCAGACCATGGCTCATATGGGAAAGCAGGAGACCCTGAGCAGCTAACTTAAGGATTCCATTTTCATTGGTGGAAGAATCAAACGCACAACCGCGTGGACAATGAAATGGAAGTTGGGTTCAACACTGATGCACATGGAGCGTCGTGATTTTCATTGCAAGGTTTCCGTTTTGTAGTATGTAATTTTACAGCTCCAAACGGCCCAATGCAGGTACTATTTATAGACACTCGGGCCCAATGTAGGCATTCTTTTCAGACATGGGGTTGAGGGCAAGGGTTGTGTTCAGAAATCCGCATATTCAGTAAAGGGACTCTAATGGGAACGCCATACAGGGAACCCCAAGTATACAGTAAGAATATAATAGGAATATACCTACCAGGATCCTTATATTCTAGTATATTCCTCTATATTCTTGGGGTTCCCTGCTTGGGATTCCCATTGAAATCCCTTTATTCAGCCTGGAACCCTGGAGCGGTAAGAGCCTAGAGCCATGCAGCCCCCAGTTCTAGTCCCTCACACCCTGACTTTGTTTAACCCTTCTTAAAACCTTTGTTTGAGATCAGAGGTTAGGTCCGCACAGTTGAAGCTGTCCCCAGAATTCCTAGCTAGAACCCCAAATATCTACAGCTTTATAAAGAGGTAGTTGCTACTAAGCTGTAGGTTGCTGGGGTTACGGGTAAACCCAAAACCTTAAGTCGTGTTCAGGTTTAGGCCACCAAGCCCTACACCCTAAACCCTAAATCCTAAATCCCTAACTCCAGATTGCTGTTCATTCGCTGAGCCATGGCTGCTTTGGAACCAGACATCCTAGCCAAATTCGTCGATGACTTGCAGGCCAAATTTAGGGTCTAAAGGTTTTGGGCTTACGGGGTAGGTTTAGGGCTTAAGGCTTAGGGCTTAGGGTCTAGGTTAAGTGTGCGTGGTTTGCGTGTGAGGGGGTTCGGGGTGAGTTTGACTTTTCAAGTTGTGAGTGTGGGCAGCAACATCCAGCTGAGAGTCCAGGCACTCAAATATAGGGCTTTAGGGTCCAAATACTATGATCTGAATGGTGTTTGGGGCCTAAACCTCTTATGTTTCGGTCTTTGGACCCTTAAACCCCTAGACCCTAGACCTTGAACCCTAAGCCCTAGTAAGGCCAAGGGTTTGAGATGGAGCAGCCTTGTAAAACTTTTCCTTAGACGAACCAGCCGAATTAGTGGGGAAGCCGAATTAGTGGGGAAGTCTCAGCACAATGTGTGAGGAGATAGTTACTGTTCCACATGTACCATAGTCTAAACTCCTTAAAGGGCGGGGATTATATATGGGGAGTACTATAGGGGATATTAAGGGGGATACTAGGAGTTTAGATTATAGCTCAGATAAGAATAATAACCGCGGTTTAGGGTTTAGGTAGAGGCCACTTAAAGCTGCACAGTAGGACTCCTACAGAATCCGCATCCATCTTGACTTGCAACTACCCTCAACCTTTTGCCGTCAATCCTAAACCCTAAGCCAAGTACCACAAACCTGCAAGTATGGGTTGCCCTGGCTGGCTTCCCTTCGATTAGCCTTTGTTATCCCGAAATGAGCTATAGTCTAAACTCCTAGTATCCCCCTTAATAAGCCCCGTTATACTCCCCTGTATAATTCCTTATAAACCCCCTTTTAAGGAGTTTAGAGGATAGCTCCAATAAGCCTCACTGAGGGGAGGGTCCAGGTCTGTTAAGAAAATGTTCGCTCTCGGCCCCTTTTATGGTTTAGGGTTTACCTGGACCCCCAAAGTATGTAGAATAATGGCCTTTTGGGCAATATTTAGGGGATTTGGGCCATTATTTGACCTACTTTGGGAGTTTAGGTAGGGGCACTTGAAAAAACCTTACGTGTGACCCCCATAACCTACAGTTGTACGGGTCATACTCTGTATGTAGGGGGTAAGTACTACAAAGCTCCAGGTAATTGGTGTTGCAGGCAAGCCCCACATCCCTATACCCTAAACGAAATAGATCATAGCTCCCATTTTCTGTTCCCTTTGACCTTCGATGGCCGGCTTCCATATACCCCCTATATAACCCCAGATACCCCCTATAACCCCCCCTAAATCCTCATCTTTTCCGCATAACCTCCCCGTATACTATAAAACTCTCCATGACCCTATATCAATCCCTTTTATATATATATATATATCTCTCTCTCTCTCTCTCTCTCTCCTTAAGTGGCAGGCCAACCCACATCTCGGGGCTGCAGAGCTGACTGCGGCGGTGTCGAGCTTCCTGGCCTGAGATCTGGAAGGGGTGGGGTTGAGGGTTCAGGGTTTAGGGTTGAGGCGGTTTAGGGTTTAGGGTTTAGGGGCTTCGTAAGGGTTCAAGTCCACCTACCCAATAGTTTGGTTCCTTTTTTGGTTCCTGGATATACATTATAAGTATACGTATATATACATATATATATATATATCGATAGCAACATGCAGGGTCTAGAGTCTACCTGGACCCCCCAACTACCCTGAATTGTGGTCTATGTAACTCCTATTTGTAGGTACTTAAGTTCTACAAGGGCTTAGGGTTCAGAGCTCGGCGCCCTGAGGGTGCAGAATTCAGGAGATTCAGGGGATTTAGGCTTCAGGGCTGGGGCTGCAGGCTTCGGCTTAGCTGTGCTTTCTTGCATGTTCTTAACCAGAGCCATCAATTCTAAACAGATGGTTGGAGGACTTGTGGAAACTTACTGGTGCTTGACTCATTGAAGGGGGCAGGGTGGAGAGTGCATACCTATAATTGGCCCCAGATTCCCTAGATGCCAGACCTTGTAAATGTCGTAGATTCAGGCTCTCAGGCTCTAAGCGTTCAGGTGCCACGGCAGGAGCTTCTGGGGGAGACACACCTCCAATTTAACCCTGAGCTCAGAAACCAACCCCAATCTCTTAACCTTAAAACGCTAGCCACAGGTTAAGGTTTAGGGTCTAGGGCTTAGGGAACAAATTTGAAACCGTGCCCATCATGCCAAGATGTTATCCAGCATGTGCGAGTTGGAGAGAAGTTTGGGCGCAGCCTGGCCCAAGGGTTCATGGGGAGTAAGGTGGTGCGATGTATCAGGTGTTTTTGTATGTATATAGATAGATAGATGGATGGATAGATAGATAGGTAGATCGATAGACTTTGGAAACCCTAAACCCTAAACCCGTATTCTTGAGCTGAGCGTCGAAGGTCTGAAAGTGTGGTCCTCACGGTGTTGGGTTGTCGGTGTGTCTGGAGGTTTCTTGACGTTTCAATTTTCGGGTCATGCAGCAGCCGAAATAGTTATTGAGCCTACATAATTATTTACCAGTTGTTTAGTTCCAGATCCTTCACGTGGTTATGGTATAGTGTACCTCAAAAATGTATTGTGGTAATTAGTTAGGCCCCATACATTAGGGGATTAGAAGGTGTAGCGCTCTGGAATCCTGTCGAGGCGAGTCTCGATCATTCCTCTTCCTCCCACATAGGGTCATCCAGTAGAATCCTAAACTGATGTATGTCTGACATACTTCCTACCCTCAGGGTTCCTCTTTCTCTTAGAAGATAGGCCAGATTTCCGGTTGCTCTGAGGGGCCTGGTTAGGAAGACGGATGCGTTGTCATATAAGGCAGCTCCGTGACGGACATACTTGTGCGTGCGCGGGATTCTTGCGCGGGATTCTTGCAGAGCGCAGCACGCTTTGCAGCCCAAACTCGGAGCCCAGAAAGCTCTGATCGCCTTTCGATGGTAAGGTCGTTGTTTCACGCTAGCCTGTTGTTGTAAGGACGCGTCGCGTCCCCATATGCGCGGAGTTGGCCATGTCTTGTACCAACCCACACAGCACACGGTTTGATTAAGATTTGCTATCAGAATCATTATTCTTGCTGCGTTGCTGGGGATTTGGCGTTGGCGGGGCACATTTCTAAAAGTCTCGCAGCCAGCTTAGTGCACCAAACCTTGGCCTTAGCGCGAAACTTTGACACCCACTCGAAGCCCTAAACTCTTAACAGGGACTTGCGCAAAAGGTTGATGAGGTCAAGCAAGTAGTTTGGCCCAGGATCCCTAAGAGAAGAACACCTAATTGAACAAGCGCAAATTCTTCTGGCTGAAGCATCTACCCCACCTACAATTACAACCAGAATATCGTGTATATGCACGAACCATTATAATCATGAGCCTGTGGCCCAGTATCATCTGTGCTTTGGAGGTTTAACCTTGGATTCTGCCGCCACTCAGTAACCGCTGGACAATATGTAAAATCCAAATATCTTGAGCTCGTAACATGACACTTATTACAGACTGTTGCTGGGTGGGGCAGGATCCAAGTTTAACCCTAAACCTCTGAGCCGTTTGAAAGGCTTCTGTGGACTGGAAAGCGCCATACAGGATCTATTTGCGGACTTGCCAGGGTGCGGGGCTTGGCACTGGGGTTACCTTTGACAGCCTGTGCCCCAAATCACCTACAGTTTCAGGGGTTATGTCTATTGATTGAGGGGGAATTGCTACTAATCTGTAGGTAATCGGGGTTACAGGTACGCTTTTGGTTTTAGGGCTTAGGGTTGAGGTTTGAGGCTTGAACCCCAGAGTTAAGTATCTACAGGTGTGGATTGTACTGGTCCCACTGAGCAGGTAGAGGATGCATTTACTACTTGTATTAGTTTTAGGGTTTAGGGGGGCTGAATGTGGGCATTGTAGGCCTCAAAAGAGATGACGAGTTGGTCCAGTACAGAGAGGGGAGGGGGCATTTTAAGCTTAAAGGCGCATCATGTTTCTAGGGACTTTAGGAGGGACCCCTAACAGGGACCCTTAATCCCATTATCATATATAACCCTTATATGGTCAGTACATAACCCCTATATCCCTAGGTA